AAAAAAAAAAAAAAAGAAAAAAAAAAAAGAAAAAAACATTATCAACCTATTTGTTGTTATGGCTTGGGTCTAGTTGCCTATAGAGAGCCCTTCCCAGTCCTCATTGTGGCCCAGGGAGTTTATATGTGTAATCCCATGGAAAAGTTACTGGAATTCTAGTGAGTTAATTCCAGTCTACCACTTCCAGTGCAACCCATGGTGAGAGTAGAGACACTAAGGCGTATTTGCAGTTGGGAGCCCAGGGCTCCTAAGTTCAGCTAGGGTAATAGCTATTTAGAACAAAGGCCTCAAACCAGGGCCAAACCCAGCTTTTATTAACTCGTGAAGAAGGGAGTGGCTTGGGGATGCGTGACCATGAGAGTGGCAGGAAGCAGGTGAGTGCCGTGAGCTGGGCTAGGAGGAGGCCTGAGATCCCTCTGCCGTATGCAGAGAGAAGGATGTGCAGAGAGAGTAATCTGCATAGCACAACTGAGATTTTATGTGATGTTTTGGGGTCATTGTTTCAGCTCTGATGTATAATCTTTCATGCCCTGGGAAGTCGTAGTCTCTTATTTTGAGGCTGATCCCAGCCAACAGCACGGAGCACGGCTCTCCATCCCACCTCACCCTGGCTCACAGATGTTTTCTTTGGGAGCTATGGGGGCCAGGGAAAACACTGCCCTGTCATCTTTGCTTCAGAGACTACACCTCAGCACCTCTTTGCATTGCTTAAAGCCAATTGAAGGGATAAGGAAAAGTCCCAGCCAGCTCTGTACACATCCATACATGGAAATAGGGCCAGGTTTAGCTAAAATGGAGATAATTGCTCTTCTTTCAAGGAGAGTCGCCGAGGTGGTCCTCCAAAGTTGTTACTGCAAAGCTTCATGTAGTCATAGCTGGGGCTTTCTCAGAGGTGGCTAGAGGGTGTGATGCTGGATGAAGGGTGTGTGATCACTAAATCAGTCCACTGCCCTAATCCAGGTAGCCTGGATACAGTATAAGGGACAGAAAGAGGCTGGTCTCCCTCTTGCTTGCTTGCTTTACTTCCTCCTGCCTGCCACAAACTGTTTCTCCTCTGCAAAGCTCCTCTGCCACTTACTGGAAGACTGAAACCTTGGAGCCAGCTGATTGCAGACTGAAACCTCTACAAACTGTGAGCCGAATAACCCTTTCCTCCTTTGACTCTGGGTGTTGGGTATTTTGTCTCAGCAGTGAGAAAAGTAACTGAGACACGTTTACTAGCACACACTTGTGTGGCTCCCGGAATGTGCTAGGCATACTCTTCTAGGCGATTTACAAGTATTAGGTCCTGTAAATTAATTATACATGAGGTTTCTACAGAGAGTTTTTATTTGAATTTTGCTATAACTTAGTAATGGGGAACAGAGGCAGTTTGGGGCGTGCAGGTGAGCACCTGGCACCACCTCATTCTGCCCCACAGAACTTCCTGGATGGACAGGAGAGAGGTCCGATGCAGAAGAGCAACACTGGGCTGAGTTTGAGGTGTTCTCCTGGGAACGAGTGTGGTCCCCTCGTTGGCTCTGGTCAGCAAGCCCAGTCTCACTCATCCCATATCGGAGTGGCCTGTTCACTCCTGCCGAGCTGTGTTGTCGCTGTGCATGACACCATGCTATCTGAGAGAAGTTAGAGACGCTTAGACATCTGTCTTTAAAAGCCACTTGCTAACCCCTATTTTATAGACTCTATGCACAGGACTTTTGAGATGACAGCTTTTTGTGGGGTTTTTTTTTTTTTTTTGGTCTTTTTGAGACAGGGTCTCACAATGCACTTGAGGCTGGCCTCGAACCCACAGAGATCCTCCTGCCTCAGCCTCCCGAGTGCTGGGATTAGAGGCGTGAGCCACCACACCCAGCTGAGATGACAGTTTACAAGCTAAACTTTTGCTTGAGCAATCTTAGAAAGGGCTTTGAGTTTTTGTTTTTCTAAACTCTTAGTCCAATGATGGCAAACCTTTTAGAGCTTTCACTGATAGCAAACAGCCCTCTGCAGCACTCAAGTGCCATATAACTTTGCCTTTTAAGTTCACTGAGGTTCCTACTGCTTTTCAAGCAACTTCCTTTACAAACGGTATTATACACTTAACTGCATGCCATGCTATGGTATGGCAAAAACCTTTAGAAAGTATTCTGCTTCTATATAAGCCTTATTTTATAGAACAAACTAAAACAAATACGAATAAGAACATTGCCTGTTCTTAAGATTTTTACCATGTGTTAGACTCATTCCTTCCTGATCCTCTTTGGAATTTGTGTTTCTTTGAGCAAATATAGGAAGATTCGAGAATATATTTTTTTATTTTTATTTATCTTTTTGTTTTTTTTCTGGTACCAGGAATCAAACTCATGACCTTGAGCTTGCCAGGCAGGCGCTGTGCCGCTGAGCTAAATCCCCAGCCCTGAGAATATATTTTTTATAACATTTTGTTTGTTACTTAATGTATTTGAGTTTGTGTTTGTTGGTTGTCTTTTTCCAAAATGAAACGTACATCTTGGTTTGCTCGTAATTAACCAGCTCTGGCCTGTTGCTCACTTAGAGTGAGCCATTTCCCTCTCTGGCTGGGAGTCTAACCAAATCGACGAGTCAGTCACAAATTTTCCATCTCAGTACGGAGCACAACTCCACATGGGTAAGGATCAGAGTCTCACATGTGTGTTACACGGGAAATCTGACATCAGGAGAGGTGCCGCGCAGCTGTTCCTCGTGCTGATGTGAGTTGTGAAATGCGCCCCATGTTTGCTCTGTGCTTAGGTCCGTATTGCAGAAGTGTGGCCGTTCCCAGAAAACTCGTGCTGAACACCAGTGAAGTGACTGTGCGTTTTGAGAGCGGATCCCATATCTCTGGCCGGGGCTTCCTGCTGACCTATGCCAGCAGTGACCACCCAGGTATGGCACAAAAGTCACGCACCTCTTTAGCGCTAAGAGCTCCTGTTGTAGCTCTTCCCCTTCTGGGACAGAGCTGTGGTCTCAGATGCAGGTTAAGATGTGAGGGAAGAGAGCCATTCTGTAGGGTTGGTGGATAGCTCTGCTGACCTGTGTGGGACGGGCTGGGTCCCCATCTCTGGGGTTCGCTCCCAGCCTTCCTGGCCCCAGGCTGTGCTCCAGGGCCAGCCCCAACTCTTCCTTCCCTCAGGCCCGAAGCCTTCAACTCGGGCCGCCATGCCCCCCAGTCACCCCAGTGCCTGGCCCGGAGTGGAGCGAAGGCAGGAAGCACAAATACTGGCCATAGACCCTGTCCAGCGCTATGGACAGAGGGGCCACCGAGGTGACACGGTGGGCTGTCACTCCCCTGGGAGAAACTCTGGAGGGGAAGAGCCATTCATTTTCTTCATGGCTAGTCAGCATGGCCGGCACCCACATGCTGTGCCCTAAGACTCTTGAAAAGTTTATGGAGAGGATGACCTATGACAGCAAGAATGGGGTACTCGGCGCAGGTTGTTGCATGCATCGGGACCTTAGCCCTGCCTGTGCGCAGCGTTGGTTCCCTTGTGCGAAGTACTCCCTTGTGCCCCGGCCAGTAAGTGCTTGATCCCCCGGCGCCAGGCCTCAGTGCCGCGGGCTCTGCCTTCGCATCCACAGTGTCCCTGGCCGCCACCAGCCAGGCGGCTGAGTCAGAAGGTCCTGGAGCCTTCTCCATGCACCACGATGGCTCTGGAGATGGCTGTCCTTTGTCAGGGATCCTGCCTTTCTTCATACATGATTTTTGCAGGTGTGTGGTGGAGAAAAACTAACCAGTGTCAGTTTTTCTGTTGGAAATAAGAGTATGTTATTTTTCACTCCTTGATAACACTGAAAAACCATCACTGGCAATAGCAAACAGGAAACAGAAGTAACTAGATAATAAATTCCTTTAGAAGTTGCCTTTTTTGTCAAAAAGAAATCCTTAGGCATAAATTCCCTAATTTCTACTTAGTGTGCTGATTTCAACGATCTTTATTCGTGACAGATTTAATAACGTGTTTGGAACGAGGTAACCATTACTTGAAGACAGAGTTCAGGTAAGTCGAGGGGTCCTGGCTGGACTGCGGCCGTACTGCTAAACATTTTGTTTTCCTCACTGCGAGGCCAGACAAGCACGCTGTTTGTGCTGAGTTTGTCACGGCCCTTTGCTGTGGCAGCACATGAGGAATGTCTGCGAGTTTCTTAGATGGCAGAGGGCAGCAGGCCTCTTTGTTGGCCCGACAGTCAAGGCATTGACTGGTGGACTCTGCACTGGTGGAGTTAAAAAGCACACGGATAATAGTGAGTGAGCAAGTGCGGCTGTGCTCCAGTGAGACTTCACTTATTCACAAACAAGCTGCCAACGGTATTTAGGCATGGGCCGTAATCACTGCCCCCGAGTCCCACTGTGTCAGCAGGCCCATCAGCCTAGCCTCACGTGCTTCCCTGACCGGCATTTGGCGGTGACTCTTGAGGTGTTTCCCTGGAAGAGGGTAAAGAAGAGGTTATTCTGTCTTTTTCACTAAAGAAAAACCTGCTGAGAACAAGATGAAAATTGTCATTTGGCTTCCCTTTGCCTAGAAAGTCTAGTTAATCTATTTGACCTACTCTTCCTCACCTAGAAAGTAGATAGTTCTGGCACAACTCCCAGGCCTCCCTGCGTGGCACGGTCCTGTGCATGGCTGGGTGGACGCAGCACCCCTGCTCCCACCCTTGATGTCGGCGAGGACAACCGCGAACGTCCCCACATGATGGCTGCAGCAACGCCGGCCAGCCCGGCCCTCTCTCGAGTGCACTCTTGGTGGCAGGAGCAGCCCTCTGTGCCGGCACAGGGTGGTCACGAGAGCACCCCGCTCGTGCTGGGCTGGCCCGAGGGTGGTGGCAAAGCAGCTGTCGGTACCCAGTGCTCCCAGAATACGGGGCCGCGCTGCAGTCCTCTCGGACACTGGACACCCTGAAGGTGGCCAGCATTAGCCAGTGTCAAGTGTAGGGGGGAACAGTGGCATCACTCAGCGCTGCCTGGGAGGGTACTGTTCCCTCTGCACTGCCCGCACCAGTGTTCTCTGAGGTTACAGCCACGCAGCACCGCCCCAGAGGCGACAAGGCTGTGGGCATCACGGAGCACTGTCTGTCTACCTGGAGGCAGGGACTGCACTCAGGTCTGCAGGCTCGCCGTGGGGCCAGGCCAGCTGAGCGTTCAGTGAAGGTGCAGCCACTGTTCATGCCCACGGCTGCCATCCATGACTGGAGCACAAGCAGCTTTGAAGCATGCGCTTGAGTCCATGGCCAGTAAAACTGGACTAGATTAACAGCAGGCTACGTGGTCTTTAAGAACTGTACTTCCTATGACCAGTCACGTGTCGGACACAGCTGTTACTGTTTTCCGCTAATGTGCGGACCCCTCGAGTCTCTACCTCGCTGGCACCGTTTTACCTTCCTGAAATCCAAAACATACTGCACGCAGAGCTCTGCCTGGCTCTTGGGAATGAGCTGTGAGGAACTGTGCACCCACAGTAGGAGTCTGCATTGTTTTTATTTCTGAATTTTTTGATTATTGCTGTAATTCTGGGACTCTAAAAGGTCACTGGGAAATGGTTATGAAACACTTGGATAATTTTGATAATAGTTTGATAATTAGATTATTATATTAGCAAATTAAGTTTTCTTTTTTTTTTTTTTTTTTTTTTTTTTTTTTTTTTTTTTTGGCTTTTCTCCGGTACCGGGAACCGAACTCACGACCAGGCAGGCGCCTTTGTCGCTGAGCTAAATCCCCAGCCCCTAAATTAAGTTTTCTAAGTCAGCAAAAGGAAACCAAAAGAAAATGAAATGAAAACAACTGTTATTCTGGAGTGTGTTTGGGGTGTTACTCTTTAACAAACCAAGTAAACGCTGTAAAAGTTGGCGTACATCCGTAGAAGGGCCCATGGCACTCACCTTCAAAGCTAGCAGAGCTCCCCTGATATTCGAGCTTTCTTTTCATGTTTTTCACAAATGCACACAGCTGTTCCTCATACGCGGCCTACCTTGATGCTTGAAGGAACAGGAGATAAAGAAAACAGGCCTAATAGGGATTACAAGGAACACCCATTGTAACACAGCTTGCTAGGTATGCAGAGCCTGGTCAGCCTGCCAAGCACAAGATACCTTCAGCCACTCCACATTCTGTGACTTGTTTCTGGGAAGTTTCTTGAAAGATGATTGTCAAATAAACTGAACCCTAATTTTAAAATACACCTTTTTAGGATTGCAGAGTAATTTATAATTTACATAGATTAGTACTAGCCAATAAAGTAACCACTGGCAGCATGTAGCTATTGAATACCCCAGACCTGAGACCATGGAAGGTGTGGGTGCTCACTGATAATGCTTGTGTTCATTATATGCAGAAATGAATAGAATTAATCCCAGCACTCAGGAGGCTGAGGCAGGAGGATCACCATGAGTTCAAGGCTGCCTGAACTACATAGCAAAACTCTGCCTCAGAAAGAAAGAAAGAGAGAGAGAGAGAGAGAGAGAGAGAAAAGAGAGGAAAACTTGGGCATATTGAATTAAATAGACTATATTTCTAATTTTGCCTCTTTTCTTTCTTTTTAATATGGCTACCAGAATGTTTAAATTTGCATGTATGGTTTCTAGAATGTCTCTGTTGGACAGTGTGGGTGTGGGGCACGGAGCCATTACAGTACATAAAACACAAGGGAAACTCCAGGGCTATTCTTTTTTGTCTTCTTTCTATCCATAAAAAAATCTAAATTGTCATATACTTTAAATATTTCTTTTTATAAAAAAGATCATACTATATAGATGAAATTTTCCTTGTACTTTTTTTTTTTTTTTTTTTTTTTAATGGTTTTTCTCCAGTACCGGGAACCGAACTCACGACCTTGCGCTTGCCAGGCAGGCGCTTTGCCACTGAGCTAAATCCCCAGCCCCTCCTTATACTTTAAGAATATTTCATAGGCATCTAAGAATCAAAGTATATAAGGAAGGTCATTGTTTTCATAGCGTCTATGGAGAATTCTTATTAAAGCAAACAATTATTGTGTGAAACTTGCTTTCAGGTTAATATTTTAGATTAATCTGTGTTTACAAATCAGGTTTCTGGTTTTTTGTTAAAGCAAGATATTCCTGCCTGTATAGTGAAGGACAGAAGGTACTTTTAAAATTTAAGTACAGTTTAATACTTTCTGTTTCAGTATAATTTAATAAGATATAAATTTTTTATTCCTCTTTTCCAGCAAATTCTGCCCGCCTGGCTGTAGAGATGTAGCAGGAGATGTTTTTGGGAATGTGGCTGATGGCTACAGAGATGTGAGTAGCTGTGGCGCTGGTGGAAAGGGACTGGCGGGGGTGTGTGGCTGCCAGATTCCTTACAGAGTAAAGCGAGATGCATGACTGACAGAGACACGATTCTTTTCTGAGGCTAAATGAAATGAAATAAGTGTAGAAACCAAGGATTTTCTCTGTACTCATTCCTATTTGTAGCACCCAGTTAGCATACTGTATCTGAAATGGAAAACACACTTTTCCAACCCCTACGATTATTATTCCATCATTAGTCAGCTTTCTGTGACTGTAACAAATACCTGAGATTAATGCACTTTAAAAGAGGAAAGGTTTGCTTGGACCCCCACTTTTGAGGGCTTCATCCTTGGGTAATCGGCCTGGATGCAAGTCACAGGTGAGCAGCTCCCCAGCTTCAGGGAAGAAAGACAGAGAGGAGCCTGAGGAGCCCGCGTCCCCAGTCGCTGGGGCTCCTTCTGCTCCTGCCAGGCCCCCGTTAGTTTCCATCCCCAGTGGCGCAGTGGCAAGGGACAAACCTGTGACACACGGCTGCTGGATTTCAGGTCCATTTTATTAAGAGGCCATGATTTGCGTCTCTGTGTTAGGATTCGCTCCCTGAGCCTCCCACTGTGTCTGTGATGCAGCAAGGCCATGAATCTTCATCACAGAATAGTGACTGTCTGCCAGTGAATGCATGCGCCCTCCCAACACATCCCCTCCCTCCCTGCAGCGCCCAGGGTTTATGGCCTTGAGACCATCTAGATTATGTACATTGTCCCCAGGAAATCATTGTTTTAAACTAAATGCCCTTTCTGCAGATACAAAAGTCCTTTCTTTATTTCTGTTTATAGATATCTATCCTGGGAATTTGGTATTCTTTTTTTTTAAATTTTACATCACTATTTTAAATAGTTGGGTTTCCAGGCTAGTTTATAGGAATAAGCTTGAGTTAGTAGAAATGTGAAAAGTATCTACACTAGTGGAATTGTTCTAAGACAGTGACAGGGAACCTTTTAGAGCTTTCAGTGATAGCAAAGAGCCCTCTGGGGCACATGTGCCAGAGGTTCACCACCACTAATTGATAGGGATCTTCAAGTGCAGGGAAAACAAGTTTTACACATTTTACAGATTAATAATTCTCTGGCAGGAGACAAAATACTTGATTTTACTTTATTTTAATTTACCATATCTTGATTCTAAGAATGGCAGATTTTGTTGTTACTTTGCTAATCTCTTTAGAGGAGCATGATTACTGCCTTTCTTGCACACACTGACATTGTGGGTGTATTCAACAGTCACTGCTGCGAAACACTGCCAGTCTCAAGGCTTCGATAGTACTCACTCATCACCTCTCCTCCTCTGCGGCTCACTGAGCTCCTGCTTCAGGGTCCCACCAGGGTGCAACCAAGTGTGCCGGTGTTGGTCTGCTCGAGGCTCAGCTAGAGATGGAAATGCTTCTAAGTTCACAGGGTGTCAGTAGCCTGGGGTTACTTGAGGGTCGTTGGACCTATACCCTCCTTTTCCTACAGGGTTTCTGTTGGACCAGCCCCCGTGGCAATATGGGGCTTCAGCATGGCCACTTGCTTCCTCAGAGCCAGCCAGGGAGAATCTCCTCGCCCAGGAGCCCCCTAGGAGAGGGTCAGTACTGTGCTGTGTGGTACTGGGAGTGGCCCCAGTGCCTTTGCCGCATTCTGAGGCAGAAGGGAATCCTGCCAGGGTGCCACACAGGGAAGGAGTGCAGATCATCTGGAGCCCGTCCTGGGGAGCCTCGCCCGGGGGATGGGCTCAGGTAGTACAGCTCCTTTGGAAGGCCAAAGCAGGCCAAAGCACATACTCATGACAGGGACCAGAAAGATGTTACAGAAAAGTGTTGCCTCATTCTACATGGCTGCAAAAGGCAGGACCCAGAGGGACCAGAGGATGTGAGTGGCAGGAAGCTGGTCTGGCTCACACACACACACACACACACACACACACACACACACACACACTCTCTCTCTCTCTCTCTCTCTCTCTCTCTCTCTCTCTCTCTCTCGGGGACCCGGAGGCCTCAGCATCCCATGGAGGAGGACTTCGAGTCACCACATATGGCCTGTGTCCCCCACACCAGAGCCAGCTGACAGGGACACTGAGTGGGTGACCCGGAGCAGGCCCAGCTGCTGGACCTTGGATCGTACAAGGGGAAGAGGCTATGGGGTGTGATCGGGTCACCGTCTGAGGCCTCTGCAGAATCTGTTGTGCTACTTAATCTCCTCGGGCTGCTGTTACCATTCAGTTTGGGTACCCTGAGAAACCTCCACCTCCTACCAAGTTCAGCTATGTCTGGGAGGCTCAGCTTTGCAAACAGTGCCCAGGAGGTGCCGCTGACAAACCAAGTCAAGGACCCAGATCCAAGATCTTTTCTGCTGAGCAAAACCACCTGCTCCTTGCAGGCGCGTACGCATGCTGGACCTGTGCTGGGCAAGGGCAGCTGGGAGGCTCCACTGCCCTCTGTGACAGTTGCAGGGCCACGTTATTGCCCGCCTTGAGAAAAGCAAGCCTCAGGGTCCTTGTGGAGGGGACTGCACTGGGCAGGGACATCCCAAAGCACTACCCTGGGGCTATCGGGAATGGCTGCATTGTCACAGAAACGAACCTGGGAAGCAAGCGCCAGCTGTGTCCTGGACACACTCTCAGGTGAGCTCTGAACAGTGCCGCTCTGTGTTCCAGACCTCTCTGCTCTGCAAAGCTGCCGTCCACGCGGGAGTGATCGCAGACGAGCTGGGCGGCCGTATCCACGTGCTGCAGCACCGAGGGCTGAGCCGCTACGAAGGAGGCCTGGCCAATGGGGTGCTGTCCAGGGAGTGAGTACCACACTTGCCTTAGCACCAGGCCCTCACAAACGGGCTCACCTCTCTAAAAGGACAGCAGGGCCGGGTGCCAAGCTGCTGTCAGCTGGGAGACTTGAGCGCTGGCCAGCACTGGGGTCTCCATGAAAGGCACATGCAGCAAGGGAGAAGCTCTGACTTGCGGGTGGCACTCACCTGGAGCCTTAGGGCAAAGAGCAAGCATGTCTGCTCACAGCATGTCTGTGCTTTGGTGGCAGAGAATAGAGGCCTATCCCTTTTGGCTTTATAATCTCAGTGAAGTCCTGGAGATCTCCTATTTGACCTAAGATACTGAAAACACGGTTTTGCCAGTGTCACTAGGTTTTTGCTTTGGTGTCATCTTGTCTCCTATCTTCACAACAGAAAGCACATTGGGTGCTGTGAGCATCTCAGCCCAGGCTTCCCACGCAGCCAGACTCCCGGAGTGTGGAAGGTAGAAAGCTCAAGCTGTGTAGGACTGGGTGTGGGCCATGCGGTGTAGACGCCTGTGTACATGTGTGAACGGCTGGGGAGAAGTCCCCAGGACAGCCAGGGAGGCAGCGGAGCTGCTCAGCTCTTTGGTCTGTTGGACTCTCTGGCCCTGGAAATATCTTCCTGAATTGTGACTCTGTTTTTCTGGACAGGTTTCCACATGGTTTTGGTCCCAAGGGTAAGGGGGCAGGGGAGGCCACAGGCATTTTGGGATCCAAAAGTGGGAAAATGTCAGAACATCTTTTCTGTCACCCACCAGTAAGTGTGACCCTCTTCCCAGGCCTGCTGTTGGCCCTCAGCCCCTCTTTTTTTTTTTTTTTTTTGGTTTTTCTCCGGTACCGGGGACTGAACTCACGACCTTGTGCTTGCCAGGCAGGCGCTTTGCCGCCTCAGCCCCTCCTGGTTAGGTCTTACGTTTCCAGTCTTGCAGTGGATTGTGAACTGCCTTATCTGATGAGAGCCACATTGCAGGTGGTAGACAGGTTCTCAGGGAGCCAAATAACCTTATTTGTCAGCTGGGCTGGATTCAAACGCTCCTGAAGAGGTGGTTGGATCATGTAGGGGTTATACAAATTGTAGGTTAATCCGCTCATGTTCACAGCCAAATGTGTGGTTAGGACATGGTTACTGGGTGCCTTGAAAGGTCCTGGTGCTCCACCCTACCCTGCTTCCCACCCCCGTGGGTTGAGCAGCTCTCTTCCACAAGCCCATCCACCTCAATGTTACTGCTTGAGCTGGCCTGCCATGGACTGATCCCTCCAAAACTGTGAGCAGAATAAAAACCTTTCCTCCTGTAAGTTGAGGATGTCAGGTATTTTGTCCAGCAATAGGAAAGCTGACAAATATGCCGAGTTAGCACAGATATGGTGGCCCAGTATCCTTTTGAGAAAGTTATACAGTAACTTTTCTTTTCCGTCTTCTACTTTTTTGCTTAAATTTTGCATTTTAGTTTAGCAGCATCACAGGTCAAGCAGGGATCCTGGCACTAGTTATAGTGTTAGTTTTATAGGAATTTCCAAAGCCTCATTTCACAATTGGGGTGTTGGCTCAGGCATACAGGAAAGGGCCTGGGAAGCAGGGACTGGAGCCAGGGAGGAGCAGGCTGGGCCTCTGTGAAGGAGGTAAGGCAGGAGTGACAGCAGAGGGTGTCCTAGGGGCACTGAGGCACGGGAGGGTGCTAGAGAGGACCTGGAGAGGCAGAGCAGGAAGGGCAGAGCTCCACCAGGCAGTGGGATCCCTGAGGGAGGGGAATGGAGAGGGCACTTCAGATAAATGCTTCATGGTGAGGCAAGGCTGCTGAGTGCAAGCCACAGGGACTCGTCCAGGAGGGACAGGCACATGCTACACACTGGATGTGTGCATGCACACACACATACACACATACTGAGTGTGTCCTCTGCCTACTAGCACTTCCTTTTTGCTGTTCTTCTGGGTAGGAGTCTTAGCTGTGAGAGGACACAAAGTGGTGTGTGGTTTGATTTTGGTCTTGGTGTTTTGAGACATGGTCTAACTATGTAGTTCAGGCTGGCCTCAAATTCACTGTGATCCTCCTGCCTCAGCCTCCTGAGTGCTAGAATTACAGACATGTGCTACCACACCCTTTCTTTCTCTTTTTCTTTCTGGTGTTCACTGTGAGACCTGTGTGCTTCTTGTGCAAGAAAATAAGGTATAAGTCTGACTGTACTGCCCGGTTTTAATTTATGTTTGAAAAAAATTATTAAATATTGAATGAAAGTAGACTTTATTCTCGTGGTTACTTCTGTATCAACTAGACTTATATCAGTTTCCAAGCTGGGAAGTATATAAATTTAAACCATGAATGAATTGAAGAAAGCTTTGTTCTCTGTGGCACAAAGTTATCTGCACTACTTGTCTGGGTTTTCTGGTGGGTGTGGGTAGTAAGCCCAGAACTTCACCCCGGGCCTGCTGCCCTAGCCCTGTGACCTGCACTCCTTTGTAGATTCTCACAGTCTTGTCCATACTGCAGGGTCCCCGGGCATAAGGAGCACTAGCTTCATCCATTCTCCGAGGTTGTTGAACCTGTGTCCCACACACGAAAAGCACATAGGTCCTGCAGTGAACACCAGGGTCCCCAGGGCACCCTGGAAGGTCAGTGCAGAGCAGGGTCGGGCAGGACAAGCACAGGGAGGGATGCAGCTTGTGTCCCCAGCAATTCTGCTGTCCTCCTCGTGACTGGTCCATGTGTGGCCGTTTAGAACCTGCCCTCCCAGGGTCTGCTGTCCAGGGTGCTGTTCCCCAAGAGCATCCTCAGAGTGGACAAGCAGGACTTCTGCAGCTGGTGCTGGGGACAGCACACAGTGCCATGGAAGTAGAGCCTGTGGTCCTCTCCTCTTGTGGACTCTCCTGGGTCAGCTGCAAGAGCCAAAAGTAAAGCCTTCACTCTCCCGCAGCAGGGGGGCGCAGGCTCTCACAGTCTCAGCAGGGATGTGGGCGACCCTTCAGCGGAGACTCTTAGGCCAGGAACTCAGATCCTGGGAAACTGGCACGAGACACTGAGAATAGTGCTGGATTCATTCATGCAGTGGCTTCCTTGGTGTCTGAGCTGGCTCCCACGGCAGGCCCAGGGTGGGAGTGTTCAGGTGACGAGTGGTGGCTGCTGGCATTATGCTCAGTGCCGGGATTCTGGGATCTTCCTGTGAACACAAAGGTTGTGCAGTCTCTGCCTGAGAGTAGATGGAATGGAAAATCTTGTCTGAGCATTTTACACCTGATATGCCTCTCCAGAGAGCTTCTCACAGGAAGGTGCTTGAGTTCTTGAACAGATTCTTCTGGGTTCCTTATAGATTCTATATTTGAGAATGGACTCCCTGCTGTCTCTCTGTCTCTCCGTTGTTCCCAAGCAGCATATAATTCAGAGTCAAACAGAATAAAACACAGCACTCAGATGGACACGCTGAACAGTCCTGACTCCTGCCTTGCCCTCCAGTGTCTGGCACAGGGGTGCTGTGCAGTAAGATCATCCGGGGCTCCACACCCCACTCTTTCTCTGTGCTTCTCACCAGCCGAGGAGGGAGATGGGCTGGCCAGGGCCCTGCTCTCCACAGAGGGAGATGCACAGCAGGCTGGCACAGGCTTTCCACCTGCAGGTGGCACAGGCCCTGTGAGCGCTGGGCTGGGACCCTGGCTGCAGGTTGTCACAGGAGGCTGTGGGGCTTGGGGAGGAGAGGGCAGCAGAGGAGGCCTGGAGTGGCTCCTCCGCTCCCATGGCCAAGCTTGTGACTGTGTGTGGGAACTGCAGGTGACTGCCAGTCAGGGGACTCCAGGCTGTGACCCTCCTGCTGTGCAGCCTGCGTTGCTGACCTGGAATTTCGGTTTGCTCCCGGGACCAAATCTCTGTGGTTTGCTCCTTGGGCCTCTGTCTCTGTGGTTCCTTCCCTCCCAGTGTGCTGGATGAAACCAAAGGGGACGCGCCTCGGTCTGTGAGCCTGGCTCGGCCGGTCTCAAGGCCAGCGCCTGGCACCCTCTCGGGTTGTGTGGGGCTGGGCTCACCTGGCTGCCCAGCGGCTCACTCCTCCTGCTGTCTTTGTCTTGCAGCGGCTCCCTGTCCGGAAAGCGGTTCCTGTTTACCTCCGATGGTAAGGAGCCTGCTGTGTTCCTTCTGGGTGTGGCCCTTGCAGTCTTCAGTGGTAGCTATTTCTGCAAACTCCAAGGGTTATTACATATTACTGAACATTATGCTTTCTTGAGGTCACAAGGCATCAAATCTTCTGTGACTTAAAAATATGCAAGACAATAAGTTGCAGTAGCATTGAGCAGAAAATGTCCTTCTGTACAAAGGATGATAGAAAAATACGGTGTCTGTTTAAATTAAATTCAAAATATGTAAGCCAGGCTTGGTGACCCATGCCTATGATCCCAGCACTCTGGAGGCTGAGGCAGGAAGATCATTGTGAGTTTGAGGCCAGTTTGGGCTACAGTGTCTCAACCCTGCCCTCCAGTATATTATAGCAAAAGACACACTGCCTTGAATCCCTCTCAGAACTGTCCCTCTGCTTCAGACACACCTCTCCCCTCAGCCTTGCCACTTTCTGAAGCAGTTCTTTATGCTTTATGGAGTCCTCATTCATGAGTGTCTTTATGAGATATGATTAAAAATACAGTAAATGCCACTGTTGAGTGCCATTCAATAGAAAGGCAGCTTGTGAAAATATGACGCTGTGTCCTCACCTGCCTTATTCACCAGATCTTGCACTGTGCTACTTCTAGCTCTTCTCCAAAGTCAAAATGACCACAAGAGGAAAATATTTTGAATCCATTTAGGACATCAAGGCAGCCTCACCAGTGTAACTAAACATTGAGGAAAGAAGCTTCCAGAGCTGCTGCAGAAAGTGGCAACAATGACGGGATGAGCACGTTGAAAGCCAAGCGAAGGATTTGGGTCGGGAGGTTATGGCAAGGTGTCTTTTGCTGTAAAAAAATTTTTTTTAAAAATTTAAACATTCATTGAGTTTTTCAGTCACACCTCATATTATTGTGTCCTCTCTCAAACTTCTGTCAAAAAGAAAGAAAAAGGAACATTTAGGAGAAAGTTCTCATGTTCAAATTTTAGAGAAGCTTCTTAAGTATTACCATTTGGTTTGTGTTATCCTGAATAAGATGACTGAACGAGGTCAGCGAAGGGCCCATAAAAGGTTCAGTAAAAGCAAAGGCTTGCTAGTTTTCCACCGTGAAATATATTCTGTGGAAATATTTTCCCTCAGCATAAAGTAAAATATTTTAAGGGAAAGAATATGAATACATCTTTGTCCAGGGAGAGAGGTGTGGTCTTTATTTACTATTCCCACATTGCCGTGGACATTGGCCAAGTTAGGTTGTGAAGTGATGTCAACAGTGTCTTCCTAGCCTCTCTCCTCCCGACACTGGGGATTGAGTCCAGGACCTTTGCACTGAGCTATGTCCCCAGCCTTATCATCTCATTGTCATCACCATTTTTATCTTTATTAATTTTGAGACAGTATCTCACTAAATTGCCTATGCCAGGCTCAAATTTATGACCCTCCTGCTTCAGCCTCCTGGAGTGCTGGGATTCTAGGTGTGTGCCACAATGCCTGACTCAGTCCCATTTTTAACCTGGTCATGCCTGCTTTTCAAGGGCACAGATGGTGAGCACCCCTCTCAGGGTCAATTTAGGAAGTTAGCAAAGAGAATCTGTAGTGGAGACAGAGATGCCAGAGGCAGGTGTGATAACAAAACACAGCCACAGTTCTCAACACTGCAGTGCCGATGTCTGGTGCCTGGCAGTGCTTCACCAGCGGTCTTTAAGCGATGGCTTTGAATTGGGCACAGTCAAGTCAGCTAGTCCATCCCCGGGAGATGAGAGCTCTGCCAGCTCAGCTGCGTTTTCCTGCCTTTTGTTCTAGACTGCAGCGGAGCCCTGGGCGCCGACCCCCGCATGCAGTTCCGGGCGTCTTCCTCCTGGCAGGGTGTCAGCGACACTGGACAGCCCACTCCCTGGTCTCCTGGCCAAGCCCAACTGCAAGACCAAGGCCCGTCGTGGGCTGCGGGCGACAGTAGTGGCCACGAGCAACAGTGGCTGGAGATAGACTTGGGGGAAGAAAAGAAGCTAACAGGTACTTTGATGAGGGCTGGCACTTCCACAAGCACAAGGGAACTGGCCGCTTGTTAGCATCAGACCCGCTGTCCCCAAGTCTTTCTCATCATTCAAAGATGTGAGCTTCGGCTCACTGCTGTGCAGAGGGCCTGGTCCAGGTTGAAGCACAGGTGCGGGCCATCCTCTGCGGCAGGTCAGTTGATCCTCAGTGGGTAGGGGTCTCTACGCACTCCAAGACTTCACAGGAGGAAAACAGAAGAAACCCAACATTCTAATTCACGTTCTGTGTAAATACTTTCAGAACTAACCAGTAAACAATATTTTCTCACAAGGAATTAGGACCACAGGATCCACACAGCCAAATTTCAACTTCTACGTTAAGAGTTTTGTGGTGAACTTCAAAAACAGCTCTCAGTGGAGGACCTATAAAGGACTGGTCGACAATGTGGAGAAGGTAGGAGCAGCTCTGGAGAGATGCAAGCAGCTTGCTGGGTCTTCGGGTCTCTGCGCCTGTGCTCACATTGCGTTGCATTCATTGGAGAGGCTGGCGTGCTTCCTATGCACACCAGAATGTGAAACATGTCAACAAATCCTTAAGAGCGCATGCCTGTGATCCCAGCACTCTGAGAAACTGAGGCAGGAGGATGGCAAGATTGAGCCTAGCCCAGGCAACTCGGAGACTAAGGGAGACCCTGTCTCAGAGCAAAAATATTTTAGAAAGGGCTCATGCCAAAGCCCTGGATCCAACCCCCGGTATCACACACAAAAAAACAAAAACAAAAAACAAAACTTTAGGTTGTGAGATACCTATGGCTCCTTGGGCAGTGGAAGTGGATGATTCCCAGGGTTCCCTCCCCGTATCCTGGGTGGCGGATGTGGGGCTTGGATGTTGCCATTGGGAGCTGCGCCTAGGGAAGTGCATGCCACTGACCTGTGCTCCTGAGGCGGCTGGTCATCAGCAGCACCATGTTAATACAGAGAAGTCACTGCCAAGCAACACAACAGAGCAATTATAGCTCCTCTTCCAAAATGAAATAAAACAGAGCAGAGCAGCAGCACCCCCAAGATACATTCAGTAGCACAAGTGTCCATAGAAACGCGCTGCTCCAAGTCCTGGCTGGTTTCTTGAGGGGAGGGCTAGACCCCATTGGCAGCCTCAGGGAAGTCACCTCTGTCCATCCGCAGGTGTTCCAGGGCAACACGAACTGCCAGGACCCAGTGCGCAACAACTTCATCCCGCCCCTCGTGGCCAGATACGTGCGGGTCCTGCCCCGGGCCTGGCACCAGCGGGCTGCACTGAAGGTGGAGCTCCTGGGCTGCCACGTCACGCAAGGTGGGGCCCCGTGAGTTGGGGAAGCCCTCGGTCCCAGTCCTGTCCTTTGTACAGCATTATGTGATGTGGTTGTTCCAACGTCCCCTCCCTCTCAGGAGATGAGGCAACCAAATGGCAAGAAACAAGTCCAGACACCTGGCTTTCAACGGAGACAGAAGAGCCACCCACAGAGCCCAACTCAGTCCCCGAGGAGGAAGGGCCCCCAGCTGGAGCAGGTGCTGTGTCTTGGCTTCCCAGAGGTGTGACCAGCACCCTTCCAACCATTACAGTCCCATCAGAGCAGACTGTCTATAAATACGGGGGGAGCTGGTCTGGAGGTGTCTGCTTGTGTGTGACATGACACTGTCCACGCTACTCAGGGTAACACTTCAAGGAGACAAAGCCCAGAAACAAAGGCCAGAAACAAGCTTACCTGTCCTTCAAAGACTGCGGAGCTATTCTATGGAAAAGTAAAGTAGCACATCCACATAACGAAATACTCCACAGACATAAGAAAGGATGTCTTAGGATTACAGGAAGTGTTCGGAGATGTACTGGCAACTTAAAAAGGAAAGTGTAGACCAGTCTAGATAGTCGTTTGTATAAGGGAGGAATGCGGGGTGAACACACATTTCTAGGATCTTTAAAGACATCAAGAAGTAGAATCTGGGTTCTTGTGGAGAACTGGAGAGCGTAAGGAGATACTCCATTCCATACCTTGTTACATTTGGAATTTTGAACATGTCAGTGTAAAATCTATTCAAGGAATGGATATTGAAAGTACATTTTTTGGAATATAAAATGAAAATTTTAGAAAATTTTCAGATTATAGAAATATAAATAAGAAAATAAACACCTGCCATTTGTCAGCATCAACAGATGACCACCATGTCCAACTGTGCCTGCTCCCCTATTTATATTTCTGACTGGAGGACGGAGGTAGCATAACCAGCACCCTGCTCTGTTGTGCAGACTCTAACGGTGCATTGCGAGCACTGCATAATCAGATTACACAGCTGAAAAGGACTTACTGATCTTTTTAGCACCTGTCATGGCCTTGTACCATCACTCAGTGGGGTATTCAGGGGCTAGACCCCCTCACCTTCGCCCTCATAAATGACCCTGCTGTCCCTTACATGAGGTGGCATCCGTCCAAGCCCCGTCCTCCTCTTCACAAACTACACATTTCCACCCCCATTAGCCTTTTGTCTTCCTTGCTTTCGTGGTTTCCACACTCAGCTGCTCCAGTGCTGTTCTGAGAGGACTTCCTTCTTTAAAACATCCATTCTGACATGAGGACTTGGAACCGACCAAGCGACAATCTCAGAGTGAATGTTAGCCCTGAGACCTAGAAACTGCCTTTGGAAGGGGCAAAGACCTCTTTTATTTTCCCAAAAGTTAGCCAGGATTTGAACCCTCTTTGTCCTTCCAGGATCAGAAAGTGCTCAGCATGTATTTGTCCCTGTGTTAAACAGCTGAAGGCTTCCCAAATCCACCGTAAGTTCTCCGTCCTGCACTCCTCTTGCCTGTGGCTTAGGTTGTAACGCAGAGGCTCTCGCTCTTGTAGGACTGGACGTGACCACTGTGGCCATCCTGCTGGTCCTCCTCGGGGCCCTCCTGCTGGCTGCGGTGGGGGTCTCTGCAGCCTTCAGAAGGTACGTGACTTCAGGTATTAAATTTCCTGATTACATGAGCAACCTAAAAAGCTTACTTTTCAGAGACTTGTGTGGAAAAACAGCCTATCTTTCACAAAAAACACTGGTTTATATTTTAAAAACAAGTGGGGTAGAGTAGAAACTACCCACTATTATTTTATAAGCAACTGTTAGCCCATAGAAACCCGCAGCGGCTCAACCACAGAGCGCTCCTCCAGGAGCCAACGTCAACAGGGACAGCTTGGCGGAGTGGGCCGGGCAGTCCGGCCCTCGGGTCCCTATCTCAGCCCCCCCCCCCCCCCCGTGTTGAGAAAAGGAGTTTACTGGGAGGGCTGAATTTGACAGAATTCCAGACTCCAAGGTCATTGTGCCACGTATTGGGAGTTGGCTTTAAGCACCAAATGTGAAACGTGGAACTTTCTCTTTTTCCATTTTAAACAGCTTCAGAACTCGTAACTGGATATCGGGTAGATAGGGTGCAGACTTGCTTCTGACTGAAGTGAGGGAGGGGACAAAGTCTCTGGTTCTTAAGGTGCGGCAGCCGCTACTGATGAAAAGCACGGTCCTTTAGCTTGATGTGCCTGTCCTGTAGAAGGCGGAGATAGATGCGCAGGGCACACGGGCGTGAGCCAGGGAGGCGGTGGGTGACGCGCCGCGCTCCCTGAGGTCAGTAGCCAGCGCCATCCTGCTGAACGCGCCCTCACCTTCCTCTCCGTGAGGCGAGGTCGTCGCTCGCATTCCCGCGGCTTCCCAGGCACAGGGCCGCACGTCTGTGCAGGATGGGCGCTGCCGCGACCCCCGCGTCAGGCGGGCCACAGGGTCCTGCGTGCCACGCATGTCGTTGGGGCGGGCAGCCCAGCTGGCTCGGCACTCAGGACAACTTCGGTCTTGACAGGAAGAAGGCAGAAAGTGCGTACGCATCGCCGGGGCCTCGGAAAACAGGTGGGTCAGGGCGTCCTGTCCCCGAGGGACGGGAGCTGCGGACCCTGCACCCGGGGAGCAGCGCTGCGCCCGCGCGTGCCAGGACTCGGGCCCGGGCCGGGCAGGGCGGCCCCTCGGGC